AGGGCGTTTCCGATTAACAGTCATAGCCTCAAACAAAGCTCTCATGAAACCCAGAGATGGACACAGCGACTGTAAAACTCTGGCTAATATGGGTTTTTGTTCATTTCATCCGGCATGCCGTGGCCGCGCGTCATATAGGCGGGGATCCTTGGAGATGGCCAGGCGTGGGTTCACAGAGATTGCACAAAGGAAACGGGAACCGGCACCAGACTATGGAGTTTGCATCCTCAAAGGAAAATGTGGAGTGCTATTTTTTTGGTTCCCATTATAATGTGTCATGTCCCTGTTAGTAGTAATGCCTACGTCAACCATTGGGTTCCATTGGACTTGGGTATGGAGCTGCTGATGTCAGCAGGGCCATTTCACACGGTAAAGACTTGCTTCTGATAGGATGTCCTTCCAACTGGTGAGTAAGGTAGATCTCAGAATGGTATCAGAGGGATCCTGGAAACAACACGCGGCCAGCCAGAGAAAGAAGAAGATCGGTCCAGGGGCTTCACTGCAACCAGGACGACTTGGAATTAAGTTGTAGCAAAACAAAGGAAAGGGCTGGCAACTGGAGGCTCGTTATGTCACATGGCGCTTCTCAAAGTCCACAATTGATCCCAGACTTGCCCATCGCAATTAGTTTTCTGGACTTGTTTTAGTTGAATCGGTACGCTGGGTGCGCCAGGTCGAGCCTCAGAAGTCAATCGGATTGTGCAACTGGCCACTGACACGGTATGATCAATGGGAATGTTTGGAAGATCTCCCGGTATCCGCCTCATGGTGGGGTATTCCGGAATGGCGCACTCATACCTGGAGCCTTGCCTGCCCATGGATTGTGAGAGGAATTCCTAGGTATGATTCTCCAAGCTGGAATGCCAATGACGTCATCGGAATCTGAACTCAGGGGAATGCTTTTTGGCGAGTGATCTGTGGATGGCTCTTGGGAACCCCTGGTATTACGCACTCGTCCATGTAGATGGTAATATTAAAAGGTGGATGCGCCCGGTCATGGCAACGCTTAGATGAGATCAGCAAGGGCCGAGTGAAATTCCGATACGTCGAGTCTGGGTATTTGGAAACATGAAATCTCGACGGACTGACACTACGCATTCGAAGCGCATGTTGAATGCAACGTAATGGTGGTGGGTGGGCCGGGAGTGGAGGTACGAAGTCGTTGTTTCAAGGCAGGCGATGATCGTTTGGTCAGCGAAACCTCGGTGATGCCTGTAGCGTCAGTTAGCTGTGTCAAACATGATGTCAGCGGAGAAGTATAGGGAGGAAACAGGGCTTCAGATATGGAAGAGAGGATTTGCTTGTGTTGTGAGGCGAGCTGTTGGGTAAGACAAAAATCAAATGTCAACGGGTGTGCGAGACGTACAAGGCAAGTGTGGGGCGGCCCCTGTTGATCAAGGACGCTTCAGGAGGGGCCTCCCGCTCATTGCGCACTGATCGCGTCGTGTGGGTGGTGTACTTACGTACTAGTACCTACTCTAAGTCTCGTTATCGCAGCACGGCACTGTTCTTTCCGCACGGTTCCGAGTTTGTTTGTACAAGTGCCGGTCGTAGCTTCTCCGAAGGGTCTGTGTGACTGTTGCCGGTGTGCAAAGCAACTGGGTCCACACGGCAAAAGAAATATACTCAAAATCTGACAGTCCGGGAAACGTGGAGGATAGATCTTGTCTGATGGGCATTAGATCCTCGCTGTTCTTGTAGTAAACGACTGAAGTACCATCCCACATCTCTGACGATGCGCCGTTGTTCTTGCATTATCCACGAATTGATTGTGCACAACACCACAGATGCAAATGCAACACCAATCCCCTCCAGCTAAGTATCTTTTGGCAGCCACCACCGAAACCTTATCAAGGAACCATACCCCTCATGCAAACATTGGGTTTTTTTCCTTTTCCTATACACGTGGACAATCACTGTTGTTTCCTCTAAAAGTACGAATGTTTCTCCGAAACTAGGCAGGCCGTCACCACTGATAACACAATAATCCAAATCCAAATGTTTGACTTGGTAGCCAAAAATTTACCATTTGAGTAGAGCAGAGTGGCTTCGGCGCCTCGGCGGCAAGATAACAACATACAATGCATGTCGGCAGCATGCAAAGCATATGGGAAGTGACAGATGCGAAACCAAGTTCAAATCCGTAAGCGCTCAATAGGTATAATATATCGGCCAAAAGTCCCACAATGGAGAGCAGACAGCTCATCCATCTTTCCAGCTTTACCAGGCTTAGTGTTGCCACACCATGAAACTCTCTGTTGCTTTCGTCGCTGCCATTGCCAGCTCGGTCCTAGCCATAGGTATACGGGCCCAGGTCCATGGAAACTACCAGCACTTGTCACAGCCCTCAACCCAAGACAGCACGGCCTTGAGGGTACAGTGCAGATCCATTACGAGGGATGCAGAGAACGCAAACCAGGTAGTAACTCGAGACAACTGGGCGGGTGGCATGCTCTCTAAGAAGCTTTGTGCGGGTAACTTTGCCTCTGCCACGGGGCGTTTTACGATTCCGATACCCAAGCACACTGGCGCCTCGAACGATACAGAATGGGGGTCCGCATGGGTGGGTATTAGCGACTACACCTTTGAGTCTCAACTACAGGGTGGTGTGGACTGGACGGTTGAGAGATCCGGCAAGGTATCATACACGGCATGGTACGAGGGGTTCCGTTACGAGCCGTCTTATCTGGACGATTTCAACGTTACAGGCGGGGATGAGATCCAAGTGGATATAACGACTACATCGACGACCACGGGGAATGTTCGATTGATCAACATCAGCACTGGCAATGATATCAGCATGGATGTGACATCGCCTCCAGACACTTTCTTGACCAGCGACAATGCAGAATGGATCATGGAATACTTTTCCGGTGGAGGGCGTTTGGCGCTGGCAGACTTTGGGAGGGTGGTGTTCACAAATGCTAGTGCCAAGATGAGCACTGGTCGGGTGGAGGATTTGAGGGGTGCTACGATTATCAAGATGGTGCTGGATGACAAGCTAGTTGCTGATAGTGTTATCGATAGCCTATCGCAGATTGCAATCAAGTACGTCAAGTAAGAAGAGCTGACGGTCTGGCTACGAGGGAAACGCATTGAGTAGTGTCACTATTTAGTTCAAATGAGCAGCATGAACGTACATAATAATGATAATAATCAAAGACCAATCGCTATGCGGATGTGACCTATAGAGCAGAGTGGCGGTATTGGACATTAGTGAATCATCTGACCGCCTGATTTCGGCTGCAAAGGAGGACCAGGGTGGGTGCCATGACAGGTCCAAAACGGCAGACTGTTGGCATGGAGAACCATACGATCGACATTGATTAGGTGACAGGGGTGGAATGCAACGGGCAGGGGTGTGGACACAGATGCTATTGCCGATGGCCAACCGGGATATTTTTAACTTTGAGCACAGTATTCTGGCTGAATGCAGGCGTGGGGCACGTGTTGTGAGAGCATCCGAGGCGGTCAGGGAGCCGACAACAAACGTCGTTGGTTGGGGTGTGTTCCGCCAGGCCAAAGAAACAAGAGAGCCGCTGGGCAACGAGCAGTGGGAACGATGACGACAGCCGGCGACGACATGGCGAGGGTTTTTCTTAGTGGTCTGGGCCTTGTTGAGAAGAAGGTGAGGCCGAGATGAGCTGGGAGCAGCGAGGGGGACGGTGACAGAGTAAGACCCGAACGGGCGAGGGAGCTATGGCGCTAGGCCGAATGCGGCGACGCCCCAAGGCTTAATTTCCACTGGCTTGGCAAGGCGGCGAAGCAGTTCCGTCCATCCACACCGAAGCCAATGCAACGCCGTCTGCTTGCTCCACCCAATCCATATGCATGTGCACACACGCACACACGCCCACAGCTGCACGTCTGAGGAGAGTGCATCGCCGCCAGCAACAGGTGAGACGCGTGTGGGTATGTACTATCAGCGCACGACCAAAAGAGCTGACGATGCGGTCCACCGCTGCGAGGGCGCGACGGGAAAAGTGTTTGCAAACAAAAAGAAAATCGCTGACACACCCTGCATACTCTGCAACGCTGACAGCTTGGCCGTGCAGCCTATTTCGGGATAGTCATGGCCATCGAGCAGGCGCGCAATGGCAATGCTGATGGATGGCAATGGCGCGTGGAGACTGGTGCCGCTGCCGTATCGCAGTTGCAGTCGAGGGGTTGCGTTCAACGGGCTGCCCGATAAGACGTTTCTCCTGAGCAAGCTGAGCATTCCCTGCTGCGATCGCCAGCCAGCACACGACTCGAATGGGTGCCAGCGGGTGCGAGTTGACGCCTCGTCTCCCGCTTCAGGGCGCCTCGACGCCGGTTCATTTAGCCAACACGAGAGCCACGGCCGCTACTAGCAGGCAACCTGCCCATGTCGTCTTAGCATCAGGCACGTCCGCCCTGCCACTGGCCAGCCGACCGCCGGGGGGCCACTTGGGACCTGCGTTAGTCCTGACACCCGCTGGACCACTTGCATGGCCTCCACGTCTCCGCCCCTGTCGCCTGTCCTGTCCACCCCCCTTTCAGTGGCCACATGTTTCCGGCCCGCGCTACGACGCTTGCAATCTCCCTTTGCTACATAAGCTGACGAAGTGCTCGCCCTCCAACTTTTCTTCTCCACTTCACAGCCAACTTTCGAGCATCAAGTCCCTGACCTTCGAGTCGTCCATTCGTTGTCCTCAACCTAATACTATCCTTAATAATTCAATCTCGCCAACTCTCCTCCAACCTCTCCCACCAACCACTTCATCTTTTACTTTTCAAGTTCTAATACCCAACAATCAAAATGCGTTACACCATTGCCATCGCTGCCTTCGCCGGCCTCGCCGCCGCTGCTCCCAGCTACAACGCCTACCCAGCCTACCCAGAGGTCCCGGCTCCTGCTCCCTCTTCCGAGCCTTGCACCACTGAGGTTCCTCACCCCGCTACCTCGGTCCCCGCCTACCCTGCGGAGACTCCTAGCCAGCCTCCC